AATATTTCTTAATTATAAAATTTTGTACAATGATTGCCATATCATAACGAGCTACTCCCTCGGGAATATCATGCATGAAATCGCAAACCATGTTTCGAACAACATGAAAATTTGGAACTTCGTGAAAGATACAACGTTCATTTAATCCAGTATCTGTTACATTTCTTTTATTAATATCAATTTCATAATTATTTTCATTTCTTAATGATTGAAAAGATTCTCTTAACATTTTCTGTAATTCTGGTTTTGGACAACGACAAATCCTACAGTAATGATTTGCAGAAAAGCTTTCGACAAAACCCAAGATAGAGTTTAATCCCAAATTATCTCCCAAGACTAACCCTAGTGCAAAGTATACAGTAGTGTAAGTATTGTCAATACATACAGAAATTCCATTTGTTTGAAGATCAATTAGTTCATTGATAAGACGAGAAAACATGATTTTATTGGGTATTTTGGTTGTCCCACGATCTGATGAATGAAATAAAAATGCTGTAAATATATTATTTAAAGATGACAAATATTCAGGTGGTAAGGCTGCAACAGTATAATATATACACCCTATTTTATGTATGCCAGAATGGGAACCCAATGGGTTTCCCATTTCAGCATCATCATAGTATAGAAAAAGAGGTAAAACAATTTTTCCTAAAAATTTTAAATTCATATCTTTCCATGTCGATCCATCCAAAAAAGAAGTAAGAGTATTATTGTGTAATGACGAATCATACATAAAGTCAGTTGCAACTTTAAGAACATTAGGAAGCTCAAAAAAGGCCTTAAGGTTTTTTTTCATAGAAAGAAAATGCCCATGTATAGGCACCGTTAAAAGCTTATCTTCACCATTAATATACCGCTTTTCTTGAGTATGACCTACCACCACAGTTTCGGGTATGAAAAAATAATTATTAGAAATTAAATACTTAATTCGTTGGTAATGAGTTTGTAGTTCAAAAAACGGGTCTTGTAAAGAATCAAACATTTTTTCTACTTCTAGTTTTGTGGAAGAACTGCATTGTAATATAGGAACAACTTTACATTTTAGTTGTTCTATTATACCACTTGAGAACAGCTCCATAACACTTTCCACTACATCTTGTACCAATGAGTTAGTAAGATAAGGCTTCGACATTAATTTTGTAATAAACTGTAATACATTTCTTTTCAAAATTTCATCGTAAGGAAATAAGTTTATACTTCTATTTTCATCGTCTAATATTTGTTTAGTATAATTATTAACAAGGTCATTTATAATGACAGATTCTTCAATTAATTCATATGATTCAATATTATTTGTTAAGGGTGTACTATCGAGTTCAGAAAATGTAGTAGATGATTTATTAAATATTTCAGGTAATTCTACCAAAGATTCAACAGTGGATTCAGTTATTGTATTACTAAAACTGATTTCATCATTTTGGTTTACCGTAACTTGGGAATGTTCCCTATTTAAATGCTGCCTAAATTTTTTTAAACCCCTGAAATCACGTACACAATTTTTTTGTTTACAGAGATAAAACGAATTATTACCAAGATTATGATATATTTTCATGTGCCAAATTAACTTTGCTATGGACCGGAAATCTTTTAAACATAAATAACATTTATACATAATGTATTAAAAGAAATAACAAAACTTTTTTAACAAGAATATATAATAAATACAGAGAAAATTATTATTTCACCTAGTTCATATTAGTAAAAACTGATACTAAATAAATTGAAATTTTTAAATAAAAATTTACAAATAAGTATTTTTTAAAGCGTTCATTTTGCTTGATAAAGATGTAATAATTGATGATTTTTGATCGTAAATGGTTGTAAAATTATAAAGTTGAAGTTGTAAAATCAGCCATGATTCATAACACTCACGTGGATAGGTACAATGTAAGGCATTGTAGGTTGTAAAACAAGCGTTTAGTGCTTTTAGTGGACAATCAAAATTCCAACAGTTATCATCAACTCTGACGTAGGCCGACTCAACAGAAAATATGTCTTGACC